CCTACCACTACCTACTACTACTACTACTACTACTACTACTACTACTCCTGCTGCTACTACTACTACTCCTGCTGCTACTACTACTACTACTACTACTACTACTACTACTACTACGACTACTACTGCTACGACGGCTTTAGGCAGAGTCCTGGTTCGTGAACACCCCGCGACCATCCGGCCAATGGCGGCCGCTTCCAGTGCTGAGCCTCGGCTTTTGGACTCAAACTCTTCCCCCTAATGAAGCTACAACTGAGCTGGGAGATTAAAAAAACAGGTCAGAGAACGGCATAAATCACCCTGAAGATTTAGCAGATGCAGAATTTGAAACATGAGAATTCCAAGACTAGTCAGCCCTGCGAACAGGTCCAAATGAGAGAACCTAAACAGAGGCCCGGCACCACTTCAGGATACCAGGAGCCTGAAGCGCTAGATCAAGATTCAAGAAAATTCCCAGAGGATCCAGCAACGACATCTGCATGTCGAATACGGGCCAGAACCCGTCGCCAACTTCTCAAGCCGAAGGATGAAGTAGTTAGGGTTTAGGGTTTTGGGGTTTCGACTCTCACACTCGCACAAGGCCGGCAAGGCTCCGCATAGGGGTTTAGGGTTTGGAGATAACTTGAGGCATTCAACCCGACCCTATCCCTAAGCCCTTGAGCACTTCTTGCATGCAAGGTGGCACCGCTGGAGAGTCGGGCTCCCGGAAGAGCCGGCCACACTGTGTCAGAAGCAGCTCCTACTATGTTCACGGCCCTTAGGGTCCTTGTGGCTCCTGAGTGGCTTAGGGTTTTAGGGTTTTGGGGCACACGCGTTTATGGAGGTGAGGGTCAGAGCTACTTAATAGAAATGTCCCTTTATCGCCCCCATTGCAAATTTACGACAACGCACCCCCAAAAATGTGTACTAATTTCGTAGACCCGAAACCCTAAAGCCTATCCTGAACCCTAAGCCCTGTAAAGCCTAAACCCTAAAGCCCTGTTTTTTTCAGCACAGGCTGTTTGTGTATAGCCTAAAGCGTCCCCTTAAGCCAGGCTCCTCCTTCGCTTGCATCCCGCCGGGTTTGGGAGCGTAGGTCTGGGATCCCGCGAGAGGGAAGTAGTCTCCTTCAACACTTGGGTTTAGGGCTTTAGGGCTTTAGGGCTTTAGGGTTTTAGGGTTTAGGGTTTAGGGTTTAGGGCTTCGACTTACACACTCGCACGCAGGCAGGCATGGTTTAGGGCTTAGGGCAAGACTTGGAGGCTGGGCTTATTTTACATCCTGAAGGGCATTGCAGCTATAACTTGATTAGATCCTGGGTACCCTAACTTAATGGCCTTATTATGCCTGTGCTAGACAATGACCCTATCTATATTTATCTGTATATTTAAACATATTTTATGGTATTTAAAAGATATAAATATATATTTGTACATATTTATCTGTGTATTTAAATGAGGTCTCAAGCCGAGCCCAGCGAGTTTCGGCACAGCCCCGGTCCCTCGAGCAGTCCGCCGAGCAATGCTTTCACCAACATGCGCTCCACCTCTGCTCGCTCCGATCGGAGCATGGACGGCACGAAGCGTAGTCCCTGGACGTTCCTCGGGTTGTGGGGTTTGGGTTGAGCAGGCATCTCAAACCCGACCCCTTTCAAGTGCACCATGGCCTGGAAACACGAAGGTGGCTCGAGACAACGTAGCTCGGGTCTGCCAGAGCTACGGCAGGGATGAAGCGCTTTGGACTTGCGAGGTGCGGTCGCTCGAGGGCGGCCTATGGCCAGGGTTCACTGCTTGCGACGCTGGAGCCGCTAGATTAGGGCAAGGCAAGGGCTTAAAGTCTACATGATGCATGCCCCTCCTGCCCAAAGCACGAAGCGATGAGCTTGTCAAAGAACGGCTGGAAAGTGTCGTAGCAATCTGCGTCACCCGCCACTGCTCCTGGCGCTACCGCCCTCCTGCCCTTCGCGACCCAAGCTCGAAAGTATTCAAGCCAACCTGTCAGCTCTTCTTCACCCTGAACGCAGCAACAGCGAGTTTCTGCAAGCAGCCCAACCCGGACCCTGGCCTAGAGTCTTGATCATGGGGTGACCGCGGTTGTCCATGCCGGTCTTGATGCATTTGGCAAAGGTCACTCCCATAGGCGTCTGCCGAGATCGCATCGCGTCATAAAGGGCTGGCTCTTCTTTGAGAACATCGGCCGTGATGCTGAAGTGTCTCGAGAGGTCGGGCATCTGCTCCGGACATCTCTCCGCTGGAAAGCCCTCGAGCTCCCTGTCTCCCAGACCAGGGAGGCTTGCGAAGGGCAGCCCACCATCCGCCATGGCTGCCCTGCCCTCCCCTACGGGCTCTGTGCCTGATCTTGGGTCTCATATACGAAGAGCAGACCTTCAACAAATCTGAACAAAAACTCTATGACTGTGGACTCGGGACTCGGCTACCAAGCTACCAACCCTAAACCCCTAAACCCTAAACCCTAAACCCTAGACTACGCCCCTCGCGCCCTCTCGCGGCTCCCTTTTTCTCCGCTCGGCTCAAGCTCCTCGCTGCAGCTCTGAACGCGAATGAGCGTCTTTCGGGGAGCCTGCCTCGGCTCTGCAGGCATGCTCTAATCTGCCATAATAAGACTAATAATAATTAATAATAATACTAATAAGTCATAATGATAATTTCTAATAATGAGTAATAATGATAATTATTAAGAATAATAAGTAATAATAATACTTAATAATAATAGTAGTAGTAGTAGTAATAATAATAATAATCTATAATGCGACAACATGGTGTCTCCGGAACTGCGGCACGACAAGTGCAGACAAATCTAACCCCCCGGCGAAAGTCGGGCTGAGCCCAAGGCACTTCGAGATCAGGGCCTTAGGTGACTGGAACTGCTCGAGGCGGGAGCCCACGAAGGGACAGATGAGTGGAGTTTCGGGTATGATCTGGTATAATATGGTATGGTATGGTATGAGATGGTATAATATGGTATGATAATTACTGGGCATGCTACTGCGCTGCAGCATCTCAGAAAGGCCGAAGAGATGCAAAAAAGCCAGGCGGCCTAAGTCAGCGAAGAGCTCGAAGAACTGGTACTTCAGCACCTTCACTTCGTGGGCGCCATTCCACTCGTCACCTTGCAATCCCCGTCTTCCGAGCTCTGCGTGGGATCGGCTCTGGAGCTCTAGTGTATATACTGCAATATAATACACTGTCATACACGGTAATATACCCGTTTATATTATACTAGTATAATATAGAAGACTGTAATATACTATGTCGCAACGGTGGCTGCTAGAACATCTTGCGTTGAGCTTGCTATGATGGTCGTGCGGTCGTCTTCTGGAGTTCTTTTTTGTCCATGCTTTTTCAACTTCAAAACATGCCAGGGTTGGCATCAGCCGTGCAGTCATGGGGCATCGGCTTGTCGCTTCGCCCCTGTCGAGATGTGTTCCGGCTCCAGCTTGACATGTTTGACATATATATATATATATATACATATAAATAAATAAATATATATATATATATATGTATATATGTATAAGTATGTATATATATATATATGCCATGGCGGGGCAGGGGCTTTGACATCTTCGGCTGTCTTTGGGCTTTGGGTGGCGATTTTCGGCCTGAGAAATCCGGCATCGGCTTGGGGGCCCAATATCCGCAGCACCTGCTTTGGTAGTTCGGCCTGGCTTTCCAGCAGGGGGTGAACTCCACTGGCTCTTCTCCCAGCGGCGATGCCATTGACGAGGACACGGGCATGCCCCGTGCGTATGTGCCTGCGGAGCTTCTTGTGAAGGCGTGTACATCCGTCTGGTCTTCCAGCATGTTAAAGGCGCAGAAGTTGCGAATCACCATTGCATTTGTGTGCAGGAATCGCTTTGGTAGGGCTTGCCATGGAATTTTGATTGCCTGCAGTTAGTGAAACTCCCACTCTTTGATTGGCTCCAACATCCTAGACAGGGTGGCAGGTGCACCTCTCTGGAAGTCTCCGCTTTGTTGTCTAGAGCTTTGTAAGGCTCGCCTCCGTTTTCACAAGGCTCCCGCCGACTGCACTTCAAGAAGAAGGGTGGTGTGACTGGTGTCCTTGGCGATTTCCCTGTCATCTGAAGCTGTGGTAGCAAGAGACTGCTTCCGTCTGCACCCTTGTCTGAGAAAGATCTCGCCAGTTGCTGTAAAAATTTAAGGGCCTAAGGGCTTGGTTGACATCTTCGTGGCACTTGTGCCTTTGGAGTCGCATTGGGCAGTATTGGAGGGTGAGCTCCTGACGAGCTTGTTTTGGCCTTGGATTGCTAGGCCTTCGGCGCAATCGGCTTGCACACTACGGACCCAGATCCGGCACTGGGGCAGCCGAAAAAAGGTCGAGAAGGTTGGCAAGGGATTGGTCTTCCATCCTGGCTGGAAGCCCAAGGAGCGAGCTGCACAATAGTGCTGCTTGCTGCTGCAAATGCCGTCCCAAACCAAAGGCACAAAGGTCCAGGAAACCAAGAAGCTGCAGCTGAAGATGCTTGATGCTTGTAGATTTATGACTGGCAAAGCCTGCGCTGCCCAAATCTGACACCCTGGCTTCTACACCTGAAAGCCGATGGCCCCAAGCCCCAGAACATTGAACCAAGCCTTTCACACTAAACCGCATGCCCTCAAAAATCGGAAGTCTACGACCCCTGCACCCCAAGCCTGGAACCCTTGAACCATAAAAAAACAGTATAAAAACCACAGGAGGTCTACGACCCTTGAACCAAGCCCGGAACCCTTGAACCATAGACCCTAGAGGGCCCTAATATAGGGACCTGATTAAGAAACCCTGATTCTTTATTAGGGGTTCTTGATATGAACCCTAATATATTTGGGGCTATGGGGCCCGGGTTTCTTCATCAGGTTCCTACTTGTAGGAACCTGATTAAGAAACCCTGGCCCCATAACCCCAAATTATATTTGGGCTCATATTAAGAACCCCTAATAAAGAGCCACGGCTTCTTAATCAGGTTCCTACATGGGGGTTTCCGAAATAGGGGACCCTAATATAGTACCCTAAATAGTGGGATCCTTATTATAAGGACCCCAAAATAAAGCACCCCTTATTTTCGGAAACTCCCACATTAGAGCCCTAAACCCTAAACCCTAAACCCTAAACCCTACCAAAATCAGACGGAGGGCAGAAGTACCGAAAGCGGGCCGAGAGAGCTTCCACAGAACCAGGCCTCGAGCGGGATCTGAGGGACCCACTCAGGCTTTTCGGTTTAGGGTTTAGGGTTTAGGGTTTAGGGTTTAGGGTTTAGGGTTTAGGGTTTAGGGTTTAGGGTTTAGGGTTCAGGGTTTAGGGTTTAGGGTTTAGGGTTAGGGTGGTTTCTGGGGCTTTTTGTCCGAACTCCTTTGTGCAAAGGGGTTTACGCTCTCGCAACTCGGACTCTGCCAGACCAGGTCTCCGTGTCCAACTACGCTAACTCGACTACTTTCTGAAGCAGCAATCACCTTTACAACACACAAGACCAACCGAACCAGTGCGAAAAAGGTTTTTCTGACACTCACACTCGGACAAGCCTGGCAAGGTCCACCACGATACTGTCTTCAGAGAATCGTTAACACAGCATCAAAGCAGGTTCGCTGCCATGCCCGGTGTCAAGTAGGATAGTCAGTACGACAGGAACAAAGATTTAGGGTTTGTGGTTCTATGTTTAGGGTTTTTCCCCCTACTTAGCAAGGACTCTGGGTTCAGGGTTGCTCTTGAGCTTTGGGGCTTCGAGCTCTGATGGGGTTTGCACTTAGATGTGCGTCTCTGCACCCGGTCACCCGCGGTTCGAACGACAAATCGTGCAGTAGGCAGCTACACCAAGCCTGACGAACCCCAAGAAAAAATAGTAGTAATAACAACAATAACAATAATAACAATAGTAGTAAGAATAAGAATAATTATAATAACAATAGTAAACAAAAAAAGCTTCCACGGGAGCAGGGCTCCCTGGCCTGGTGCTTGGAAAGCTCATCCATCGGCCACGGCGTCCTGCAGCAAGCTTTGCTTTCTCGGGTGTCGGGTTGTGGTTGTGGTTTTTGCCTCCTACTGGTTTTGGTTTCTCCCTCTCGCATAGGTGGACTGGCTCAAACAAAGTCCCAGCGGAAAACTGAGAACGAGGTGGTACACATCACACTCCAATCGTGGACTCTATCGGTTCGGTCCGTAGCGCGGCTCCACAAATGATACTGGTTGCCAGGACCAGAGATCCACGGTGCTGCCTCAGCGACAAAGAGCACGTTGCTTCGGTGTCGCTAGGATGGGCTGATAGGGTCTCTGCGCCACGGAACCACCACAGGCCCTCCAGAGGGGCTTCAAATAATATTACCAATACCATTTTGGGGTGGCTATTCTAGCTATAGTATACTCTACTCTACCCGAAAATCCAATTGAAACTTTCTCGTTATAGCTATAGTATACTCTACCCGAAAACCCAATTGAAGCTTTCTCCTTATTAAGGCCCCGAAAATTTGGCCAAGATCAGCCCGGCAACCGTTGGCGAGGCGAGCTGGGGCCACCTGTCGAAGCAAGACTCGGAACCGTCCTGACGTGTTCTGCTCCTAAAACAGTATAATGTAACACAAGACAAAATAAGATGCTATGATGTTGTAACTGATGTAATAGGCCACAATAGAATGCAATGTGATACGATATGATATGATATGATATGATATGATATGATATGATATGATATGATATGATATGGATATGATATGATATGATATGGTAGGATATGGCATGATATGATGTAGTGCGATATCTGTCTTCTGTTGTGGCACCCTGGCCTCTTGTCATCTTAAGAACTGGAATCCTCGAGAGAGCTTCGAAAAGCCGCCTCCCAGTTCAAGGTGGTGTCAGCGCCTGCGAACCTCAGCGCGGGTGATGTGGTTGATGGACAAAATCCTGCATGACCTTATATACCTAAACTATGGGATTTAAGGTACTATACTATACTTGGGTCATGCAGAATTTTGTCCATCAACAGTATGGGATGCAGCCCCGCACGGAATTGCATGTGGGGGCTCCCGAAAATAGGGGACCCTAAGATGGCACCCTAAATAGTAGGATTCTTGTTATAAGGACCCCAAAATAAGGTACGAGTACCCCTAATTTTCGGAAACTCCCATATGGGACGCAGCCCCACGGAATTGCATGTTGGGTTCTTGCTGGACTTCAGACGGGCCAGCAAGGAAGGAAAGATCCTGCCCGGAGACAGGTGCGAAGGGGATGCCCTCCGGACCCTCAGCCCTAAGCACGAAGTTTAGGATTTTTTTTTTATCACCTCTTTTCCTTCGCCTGAAAAGGAGTCCGGAGAAGTTTAGGATTTAGGGTTTAGGGTTCAGCAGCTCTAGGGTCGAGCCGCTTTAAAGTAGAGTTACATTCACAATTATAGACATAACACCCACCCACCCTTAGAATCCCATAACATTGGACATAGAAAGTTTTGCCACTCACTGCAAATGATCCAATTTACTTTTAGTTTCATTTATTCCACACCCAATAAAAAAGACCCTAAACAGGACCCTAAAGGGGACTCTAAAGAGGACCCTAAAAAGGACCAAAGGGACCCTAAGAGGGACCCTAAAAGGGACCCTAAAAGGGACCCTAAAAGGGAGCCTAAAAAGGCGGACCCTAAAAAGGACCCAACGAATTTCGTGGGCCAACGAATTTAAGGCTAACAATTCACTGTAACGAAATTCGTTGGATGAAACATCGTCTGTCCAACGAATTTAAGCGTAAAAATTCGCTGGAACGAAATTCGTTGGATGAAACATCGTCTGTCCAACGAATTTAAGCGTAAAAACTCGCTGGAACGAAATTCTTTGGATGAAAAATCGTCCGTCCAACGAATTTAAGCACAAAAATTCGTTGGATACGAAAACGTGAACTATCCAACGAATTTTTACGCTTATCCAACGAATGTTTGCGCTTAATTCGTTGGATGGAAAATTCGTTGTCCAACGAATCTAAGCGCGAAAACTCGTTGGATAAGGGCGAAAATTCGTTGGATAGTTCACTT